AAGAGACTAGTGTGTACAAATGATTAAAAATTGTTATTGGCTTTCCAAATTCTCAGTTTTAAGTCACTAAAATCCTTTCCTTCCTTTTCAAGATCTCCCAAGTTAGGGCTTTAAAACATAGTGACTAAAGTCACCAAGGACTGGGATACTTGATCTACACATTAGAAGGCACCCTAAGATTCATCCCTCAAAAGAATTTCTTAATGGGATCATCAAGGGGGCTTCTCCCAGCTCATTTGGAGTGTCCCTTTGGGAACATTATCTTCCATCTGATGATTCAAAGGAAGAATGTCAGAACTGAACAGAGGATGAGGAATGAAAGCTGTTGCCAGAACCTTTCCTTTCATTCTTCCAGACTTACTTGATACATACTTGAAATACTCAAAGTGAATGGGGAGGGTGGAATACTTTTTCACTTTTATTTTGGCTTGGGGAACTAATTATATCCATAAGAACTTTAAATTAAGATCCACAGGTGCTTGAAAATATAAACAATTTAAAAAATCAATTCATGACTAAAATGCAGCTATTTTGAATCTCAATTTTAATTATCACTATGGGATGAATAGATTCAACTTAGTCAAAAGAAAGGGGACAATGGAGAACTATTAAAGATTACAACAAGTTGTGCTATCTTTAACTTATGGTAGAAATTAATGATTTCAACAAATTAAAAAAGAGAAGGCTTACTAGTGACATAAACACTCCTTCGAAGAGTAACTTCCCTACAATAAAGTTAGCTGTGGCCATATTTTATTTGATTGTACAGGCAGTTTGGAAAAAAAGATGGTTTGTAGTCATTACTGGCACTAATATCAAGCATTAAAATTCTAAATCAGTACCACAAATGAAGAGGAAATTAAAACAATAATTAGGAACTATTTTACCCAACTGTATACCAATAAATTTGACAATCTTAGTGAAATGGATGAATATTTACAAAAACACAAATTACCCAGATTAACAGAAGAGGAAATAAAACACTTAAATAACCCTATTTCAGAAAAAGAAATTGAACAAGCCATCAATGAACTCCATAGAAAAAAAATCTCCAGGGCCAGATGGATTTACAAGAGAATTCTATTACACATTTAAAGAACAATTAATTCCAATACTATATAAACTATTTGGGAAAACAGGTGAAGAGGAAGTCCAACCAAATTCTTTTTATGATACAAATATGGTACTGATACCTAAACCAGGAAAAGTCAAAACAGAGAAATAAAATTATAGACCAATTTCCCTAATGAATATAGATGTAAAAGTTTTAAATAAAATATTAGCAAAAAGATTACAGCAACTTATCACAAGAATAATACACTATGATCAGGTAGAAGTTATATCAGGTATTCAGGGCTGGTTCAATATTAGGAAAACTATCATCATAATTGACCATATCAACAACAAAATTAACAGAAACCATATGATTATCTCAATAGATGCAGAAAAAGCTTTTTACTGGGGCAGCTAGGTGACATAGTGGATAGTGCACCAGCCCTGAACTCAGGAGGACCTGAGTTCAAATCCAGTCTCAGACTAAACACTAGACACTAGCTGTGTGACCCTGGGTAAGTCACTTAACCCTGATTGCCTAAAAAAAAAATTAGAAAGAAAAAAAAAGAAAAAGCTTTTTACAAAATACAATACCCATTCCTATTAAAAACACTAGATAGCATGGAAATAAATGGAGTCTTCCTTAAAATGACAAGTAGCGTCTACCTAAAACCATCAGCAAGCATTATATGTAATGGGGATAAGCTAGAAGCACTTCCAATAAGACTGAGGGTGAAACAATGTTGTCCATTATCACCAGCATTATTTAATATGGTACTAGAAATGGTAGCTTTAGCAATAAGGGAAGAAAAAGAAATTGAGGGAATTAGAATAGGCAAAGAAGAAACAAAGCGATCACTCTGAAGATGATATGATGATATACTTAGAGAATCCTAGAGAATCAAGGAAAAAACTACTTGAAATAACAAACACCTTTATCAAAGTTGCAGGATAAAATCCCCATAAATCAGGGGCATTTCTATATATTACTAACACAGCCCAACAGCAAGAGATAGAGAAATTTCATTTAAAGTTACTGTAAACATTATAAAATATTTGGGAGTCTACCTGCCAAAACAAACCCAGGAATTATATGAACATAATTACAAAACACTTTTCCCACAAATAAAGTCAGATCTAAATAACTGGAAAGGCATCAGTGGCTCATGGGTAGGCCGAGCTAATATAATAAAAATGACAATCCTACCTAAGCTAATTTACTTATTCAGTGCCATACCAATCAAATTACCAAAAAATTATTTTATATAGCTAGAAAAAATAATAACAAATTTCATGTGGAAGGATGAAAAGGTCCAGAATATCAAGGGAACTAATGAAAAGAAATGCTAGGGAAGGTGGCCTTGCCAGACCAGATCTTAAATTGTGTTATAAAGCAGCAATCATCAAAACTACTTGGTACTGGCTAAGAAGTAGGGAGGTGGATCAGTGAAATAGGTTAAGTATACAAGACACAGTAGTCAATGACTATGGTAATCCAATATTTGATAAACCCAAAGACTCCAGTTTCTAGGATAAGAACCCACTCTTTGAAAAAAAACTGCTGGGAAAACTAGAAAAGAGTATGACAGAAACTAGGCATAGATGCAAATCTCACACCATATACCAAAATAAAGCCAAAATGGGTTCATGATTTAGATATAAAGGCTGATACTATAAACAAATTGAGAGAGCAAGAAATAGTTTACTTGTCAGATTTACAAAGAATGGAAGAATTTATGACCAAACAAGAGATAGAGAACATTATGAAATGCAAAATGGATAATTTTGATTACATTAATTTGAAAAGTTTTTGCACAAAGCCAATAAAACCAAGATTAGGGGGTACACAGAAAACTGGGAAAGAATTTTACAACCAGGGTCTCTGATAAAGGCCTTATTTCTAAAATATATAGAGAACTAAGTCAAATTCATAAGAATATAAGTGATTCCCCAACTGATAAATGGTCAAAGGATATGAACAGTTAGTTTCCAGAGGAAGAAATTAAAGCTATCTATAGTCATATGAAAAAATGCTCTAAATCACTATTGATTAGAGATATGCAAATTAAAATGATCAGACAGGCTAATATGACAAAACAGGAAAATGATAAATGCTGGAGAAGATGTGGGAAAACTGGAACACTAAAGCATTGCTGGTAGAGTCATGAACTGATCCGATCATTCTCGAGAGCAATTTGGAACTATGCACAAACGGCTATAAAACTGTGGACACCCTTTGAGCCAGCAATACCACTTCTAGGTCTGCATCCCAAATAGATCATACAAATGGGAAAAGGACCTACATGTACAAAAATATTTATAACAGCTTTTTTTTTGTGTAATGGCAAAGAATTGGAAATTGAAGGGATGCCCATCAGTTGGGGAATGACTGAACAAGTTGTGGTATATGAATGTAATGGAATACTACTGTGCTATAAGAAATAATGAGGAGGAAGACTTCAAAAAAACCTGTAAAGATTTGAATAAACTGATGCTGAGTGAAGTGAGCAGAACCAGGAGAACACTGTACACAGTAACAGCCACAATGTGTGATGACTAACTTTGACAGATTTATCTCTTCTTAGCAATGCAAGGATCCAAGAGAATTCCAAAGGACTCATGCTGGAAAATGTTATCCACACCCAGAAAAAGAACTATGGAGTCTGAACACAGATTGAAGCATATTATTTGCTCTCTCTTTTTTTCTTTTTTTGTTTTTTCTTTCTCGTGGTTTCTCCCAATGGCTATAATTCTTCTTTACAACATGACTAATGTGAAAATAGGCTCAATGTGAATGTATATGTAGAGCCTACATCAAATTGCATGCTGTCTTTGGGTGGGGGAAGGAGAGAGATGAGGAAAAATTTGGAACTCAAAATCTTAGTGAATGCTGAAAACTAAAAATAAATAAATAATTTTTTTAAAAAAGAAAAAATTCTAAATTAGTGAAGAACTAGATTCAATCAAATTCAACAAACATTTAAGTGTCAACTAATTATAAAGCACTGTGCTAGATAGACATATTGTGCTGAAATGTTAAAGATCTAGAAAACAACACTCTTTACCCTCAAAGAGCTTATATTCTACTAGAAATTGTACAAGTTTAAGATAAATGAATAATTCAACAGAAATTTTGAGCTATAGCAAAGTTCAACTGCCCAGAATATAATTCATAAGAAGCCCAATTCTTGTGAAAGCTAACTTGTAATAATCAAAAACAAGCATCTTCTGTTTGGTTTTTCATCTGAAATAAAGAATCTCTAAGGTATCTCTTACTATTTAATCCAAGGCATTAACTCAAAATCAACTTAAATATAATGTCTTAAGTCACTAGTGACATTCCTGCGAGCACTATCATTTTCTTTGGGATCTATCTCAGTTTGAGGATTCATTAAGTATAGAAAAGCTACAGTAAATTTTATTTATTTACTATAAAAGGCATTCTTTTCGTGGAACATTTTCTAATTTATAGGAACTTTTTGACTGCAAGTGCTCAGTACCCATACTTACATTCCATATTTACCTGAATTGCAGGAAAAGTCTACAACAGCATTTTAAAACAGATCTAACAACAAAGAATCACTCACAAATGATACACTAAATGTTATAACACAGAATTTATATCCTGTCTTTCATCTCACAGCAAATTTTACAAATGAGAAAGCATATATACCCAACTTCATTCCCCAGGCAGTTTTTTCATTCCTTTACCTTGGATCAAAATATGGGGAAATGCAACTATTGGATTAAAAGTTGTATTTTGACCAGGGGATTCTGGAAGAGGTAAGTTTTTCTGCATTATTCTGTTATCTGTGTTATTCAGTTCTCAATAAAAGGCTACATCCAGAATGCTTTTTTCCAGCTAAAGTTTCAACACAAAGATAACTCTTTTCCATTAAAGATGTCTGAAGTGTGAGTAGATTATTACTTGTTTTAAAAGAACATACCTAAAAGTGCAGTAAGTTTGGGAAGTAGTCCAACTTGTACCATCTTGTTTCTCAGTCCTGTATCAAAGGACAGATTTAACAAAAGTCTTAGGGTGATATTTAAGAGATCTTCATGTTCACAAGGTACCATTTTCACCAATTTTTCGACTATGTCCATTTCCACCTATAAAAAATAGGATAAGGAAAATTGAAATTCAATTTAAAGCAATGGATAAAACCAATTTTTCTTTGTAATAATCTGTATACTTTCTATATAAATATTTAATGCATTATATGTATGTACTTCAGATCAAAAGATCTTCCTTAAAACAAAAGACTCTTCTTTTTCAACATTGACATTTTCCTAGTGATGCAATAGAGCTGAGAATCATATAACACATAGAAACTCAGGGTTGGAAGAGGAAATTCTGCAAAATACTTTGGTCATCCATCATTTGCTTAATGAAATCCAGCAAGAGAGAAGCCACTATTCCCAAGAGGCAGTGAATTTCATTTTGGGATAGCTGTAATTGGCTAAAAAATTATTTTTAAAGTTCTCCTTACACAAAGCCTAAATTTAACTCTTTACAGCTTCCACCCACTGCTCCCAGTTCTGACATATGTGGTCAAGCTTATGTGACAAATGCAATCCCCTATCCACAACACAGCCATTCATCCACTTGAAGACAGTGATAGTATTCAGGAACATTTCCCCTTCTCACCAAGCCTTCTCTGCTAAACACCCCAGCTTCTTCAGCCTGGACACTACAAATTCCTCTTCATCCAGCCCAAGATTATACTAGGTTTCTTGGTTGTCATAGGATGCTGTTGACTCACACTGTGCTTCCAAATCATTTCAGGATCATTTTAATTTTATTTTATTTTATTTTTTTGTTTTGTTTTGGCTAGGCAATGGGATTAAGTGACTTGCCCAGGGTCACACAGCTAGTAAGTGCTATGTGTCTGAGGCCGGATTTGAACTCAGGTCCTCCTGAATCCAGGGCTGGTAATCCACTGTGCCACCTAGCTGCCCCTTCAGGATCATTTTTAAAAGAAACACCTGCTAGATAGCAGTTACTGATACCCCAACACCATAGTTTCCAAAGAATCACAAATTATAGGTTGCCCAAGGGACACTGGGAACTATATGAAAGATGGGTTCAAATGTACTGTAGCATATCACCAATGACAATAATTTGTGTGCAAAATGTGGTATAAAATAAATCTCCAAGGTCATTTATGACTAGAAAAGGAGTTAGGTTAATCATGTAGCAACAGCAAGGTATAACAGATGGGCAGTTAAGTATAAATTAACTGTTAAAGTACTGCTCTCCTGAAATTATCCAGGACTTTGGGTAACTCCCCTATGTATGATTAATGAAAGGACTCAGATAAGAATCACAGAGAATGAAAAGGTTATATCTATATAGCGGGAATATGCACATCATGAAACCATCGAAGTATCTAAGTTATGTACTTATATACTTCTTTCCTACCACATTTTTCTCCCATCAAAATTTTGAGAACCTTTTTCATAACTGATCATTGATCTCAAAATTCATTCATAATTTTTGTAATTCATGATTTAAAAATAATTTTCGTATGCTATCTGTCAATGTTGTCTGAAAGCTTAATAAGCATACTTGAAGATATCTAAATGAACTTACTTTCTGAAAGAGGAAGATTGTTTCAGGACTACTGACATCTTTTCAAATGCTCTTACTAAGCAATAAGAAGTTTTAATTGGAGTGAATATTAAGCTCTTGGTTTGGGGACAAGTTTGGACATTATAATTCATAGGATTTAGTTTTGATTATTTTGGTGTTGTTCTTTCCATTTATTTGTGGTAGTCATTGTGTATGATGTATTACTGATTCTGCTTACTTCATTTTGCCTACGCTTATAAAAAATCTTCCCAGGTTCCTATTTATACATTATTTTCATAATTTTTCACAGCAGAGAAATATTCCATTACAGTTATGTATAACTATTTGTTTAGATATTCCCCAATTGATGATGGGCAACTACTTTGTTTCCAGTTCTTTGTTACTATAAAAGTGCTGTTACATACAACGTGATGTATATAGGACATTTCTTCTTAGCACTGATCTCCTTGGGATACATGCCTAGCAGTAGGTTCTACAGGCCAAGGTATGGGCATTTTATTTACTATCTTAGCACAATTACAAGACGCTTTAGAAAAATGCAAAGTTCCACTCATGGTGCATTAGTGTTCCTGGTCTTTCCACAACCCATTCAAAGCTGATTATTTCCCTCATTTGGCATCTTTGCCCATTTACTAAGTGTTGAGTGAAAGCTCAGAACTGAATGGATTGGCATTTCTTGTGTATTAGTAATCTGAAGGAATTTTTCACACACTTAATCATTTGTAATTCTTTTTCCTTTGGCCACTTAAACATTGAGGAATGGTTTTTGGTCTCATATTTGTGTTAGTTCTCTATATATTTTAGATATCACACCATTATCAAACATATCTTATATGAAGATTTCCCCTCCCCCTAATTAACTATTTCTCTTTATAGCCTCGATCCATTAATTTCGTGTGCAAAATCTTCTCAATTTTATCTAATGGAAATCATTTATTGTATCTTTTGTGATTGCATATCTCTTATTTGGTTAACAATTCTCCCTCTAGGAATCAATGGGAAAAATGTGAAGGAAGGCAGCCTAGCAGTACTGGATTTCAAATTATATTACACAATGCTAATCATAAAAAAATTGATGGTGGCTAAGAAATAGAGGGGTAGACCAGTCAAACAGATTAGATACACAATACAGTAGTAAATGTCCATAGTAATTCAGTATTTGATAAGCCCAAAGATAAAACCTTTTGGAGTAAGAACTCACAATTTGACAAAAAATGCTGGGAAAACTAGAAAGTAGTTTGGAAGAAATGAGGCAAAGACCAATATTTCACATCATATATCAAGATAAGGTCAAAATGGATAAATGATTTACACATAAAGGGTTATATTATAAGTAGATTAGTGGAGTATGGAAAAATTTTACCTGTCAGAGCTATGGATAAGGTAAGAGTTTATGACCAAAGAAGACATAGAGGGGATCATGGAAAGTAAAATGGGTAATTTTTATTACATGAAATTAAAAGGCTTTTGTGCAAACAAAACTAATGAACTCAAAATTAGAAGGAAAACAGGAAACTGGGAAAAATTTTACAGCAAATTTCTCTGATAAAGTCCCCATTTCTTAACTATATTGGGAACTGAGCCAAATGTATAAAAATAAGAGCTATTCCCCAAATGGTAAATGGTCAAAGGATATGAACAAGCAGTTTTCAGAAGGAGAAATCAAAGCTATTAACAGTCACATTTAAAAAATGTTCTAAATGACTACTGATTAAAAGAAATGCAAATTAAAACAACTCTGAGATACCATCTCACACTTATCAGATTGGCTAACAATGAGGGAAAAGGCAAACGACAAAAGCTGGAGGAGATGTGGAAAAATTGGGACACTAATGCATTGTTGGTGGAGTTGTAAACCAGTTAAATCATTCTGGAGAACAATTAGGAACTATGCCCAAAGGGCTATAAGACTATGAATACCCTTTGACCCAACAATACCATTACTAGATCTGTATCCCAAAAAGACTGAAGAAAAGGGAAAAGGACCTATATGTACTAAAATATTTATAGCAGCTTTTTTTTTTTTAAGAATTAGAAATTGAGGGGATTCCCATTAATTGGGGAATGGCTGAACAAGCTGTGGTATATGACTGTAATGAAACACTTGCACTATAAGAAATGACGGGCAGGACAGTTTCAGAAAAACCTGGGAAGACTTATATGAATGCTGATGTACTGCATCACCTAGCTGCCCCATCAATAATTTTTTTAAAGCATGGTATTTTACATGAGTGAATTAATGAGCTATCTAGGTACAAAATCAAGTCACATTCTTTTATTTTACATATGAGGAGATTGAAGCCCAGAGAATTAAATGTCTTGCTTAAGTATTACATAGCTATTAGATATGGGGGATGGAGATTTGACCCAGGTCTTCCTGGCTCAAGCCCACTACTAAATCAAGTTGACTTTCATTTCAAAGAAACCAAGCCTCTATCTTTTCACATCAATTTCCCCCCACATTATGTTATGGAGCTGTGAATCATGGAACATCAAAATTTCAAAAGAAATAAAATTGCAGATCACTCAAAGGGCAATAGAAAGAGTTTAACTGTGGGTATAAATGGGCTGCAGTATATTACCAATGAGGAACTGCATGCAGAGATTATCAAAGCAATTTCTGGCCAAAAAAGTAGGCGTTTGCCTTGGTACCCACATAATGTTAAGAGGTTCAGAGAAAAGCCCCATAGTACAATGGGTAGAATATCTACAGGATATTTATGAGAGGACATGGACAAGAATCCAAAAGGATGAGAAAACATGGATGAGTTGTGCAATCTGTACCACTGGAAAGAGCACCTACACCTACACGATCATAGTTCCATTGAGGCTTAAGTACTGAAGTAAATAAAGTTCTTCAGTGACACTTAAATGAGTGGCAATTTTTTATTCATCAAATTTAATATAGTTCCCTTCATTAAAATTTTCAGAAGCAAATAATCTCCTCAGTTCTGGTCTGCTTTCTAAAAATGTTTCAAACTCTTTTTTACTACTGAACTTTTATCATGAATGCTTAAGCTCAGATTTACAGGATAGGTCACTCTGGGCTGCCTCCTGAGCTCCACTGCTCTTCCAAACACATTATCCCATTCCCTCCTCCTAGTAGGTGTCAAATAGTCTTACATTATGTGACTATCCTCTATATCTGAAGGTCTTTCTCCTGATGGCTTGCAAAACTTGTTTCCAAATTGAAATGTAAAATTTAAGCACTACGTGTCTTGGAGTTTTCAGCGCTGGGTTTTTGTTGTTGTTGTTTTTCCCAGAAATGATCTTTCCATTGGAATTTCATTTTCTATGTTCAGAAGTTCTGGATAGTTCTTTTCTATTATTTCCTTCATTATGGTGTTAAGGTTCTGAGTCCTGTTATGTTCTATGAGGAAACCAACAATCCTTAGACTGTCTCTATGCACCCTATCTTCAAGATCAGTATGTTTTGCTTTCATAGAGAGCGTATTTTCTTTCTTTTTTCTTCTGGTGAGGCAACTGGGGTTAAGTGACTTGCCCAGAGTCACACAGC